CACTATTCGTTGGTAAAAGAGTAGCCCAAGAGTTGGCGGTGGGTGGTGATGACTAGATGCCTTCCTTCTAGTCTTACACTGCTAAATTAGGGACGGCTAGCGCAGATAGCCCTCGTGTAGCTTTGCGCGAAATTCAAAAACAAACAAATCATCTAGAATATACAAAAGTTGAATGATTATCATCAGTATGTAAACATACAGGGTTTTCTGATTCATTTTGATAAATTGGGCCTCAGAAGCCAGCGTGGAAATTTAGTTTCCTTGTTGTCATCGGTAGTATCTCTTATCTCATCGCTGTTTAGGTTATTAATGGGGACAACAGTATGGACCTAAATTCTAATCTGAAAAATTATGAATAGCGGAATATGTGTTTTCCAATCAAAAAAGCCTTTTTGGTTTCAGTTTTTTCTCATGCAAGTTTTCCAGCTGCGAAAGATGACATTTAATTAAAACTTTAGTATTATAGCTTTTCATAATACGAAGTAAGTAAACATATAAATGACAGATTTTTTCTGCCAACTTTTAACCGAATGTTTCAACTAATACTCTAGCATAAGATGTAAAAAAAAAAAAATGCTTATACTTTTCTTGAACAAAAACATGTTTACTATTCAAAATCTCCAAAAACAAGCGTCTAAGTTGAAATAAATTGTTATTTACATTATAAAGTTCATATTCGAAGAGAGCGTGTACAATTTCAACATACAACTAGCTGATTTTATACTCAGTAGTTTTACACCTAAGATACCAACCATTAGGCTGTGCTAGGCCTATTTATAAAGGATATCGGAATAAACCTGTATTAATTTAATTATATATTCATTGGAGTTTTTAGCAAAGAAAAATAAAAGATGTATCACAAATGTATTTCATATAACTAAAAATAGCAAAATTATTACAGCAATCAAGTTGCATTTAATAATTTGATTATTCTTTCTTACTTTGTTAAAGTTCTCTCTTTTTTTTTTTTTTTGATATTAAATGAAAATAAATTGATTGTAGCTCCGAGGGTGAACCAACAAATTAAAAAATATTTTTGAAAGGTCTGATATGTTTTTTGCCTGTTTCGATAATATAAAAGAAGATAAATTATTTTAATGGTGAAACGGAAAAACGGCAATCACTTATTAAAGCATTTTTTCTCTAAATATGTCCTAAAATTTCAACTAGTACTTACGGAAAGTTAAATCAGATCGTTAGAATTTTGTCTGAAAATTTTTCTAACTGAACCTAAGTACATAAACTTATATAGTTTCTTTGGTCAAAATGATCGTATAGTGTTTTAGTCAAACTGACCATATAGTTTCTTTGGTCAAAATGATCACATAGTGTTTTAGTCAAACTGATCATATAGTTTTCTTGGTCAAAATGATCACATAGTGTTTTAGTCAAACTGACCATATAGTTTTCTTGGTCAAATTGATCGTATAATGTTTTAGTCAAACTGACCATATAGTTTCTTTGGTCAAATTGATCATATATATTCTCATTTGGGTATTTCTGTCCAAATATTTTGCTTAAAATCATAAGTCCTTAGAGAGAACCTCTCCTCAAATAAATCCTTGGAACATCCGTTTTGGCTTTGGCAAAGTAATGCTAATTGTATATTTTTTTAGGAATAAAGTTTAAGTATGAAAACGAAATACCTTCTATGTTATCTAAAGACCATGTGTTGATGAATGTTCTTTGAATTTTACAACTTTTGCTATTTTCTATGCTTCATCTCTCTTATTTGTCTTAAACTTTGAGAATGAAAAGCAAAAGTTTGGAAGCGTTAAACTTTCAAATTCTTACTGTTTTAAATATGAAGTGATCAACCTTGGTGTCAAATTTATTTTTCATTTCTTAGTTTGTTTGTTTGGAATTAAGCACAAAGCTACACAATGGGCTATCTGTGCTCTGCCCACCACGAGTATCGAAACCCGGTTTCTAGCGTTGTAAGTCCGCAGACATACCGCTGTGCCACTGGGGGGCATTTCATTTCTTAGAAGTTGAGTTTGAAAAGTAGAAAACTAAAGTTTCAGAACACTAAATAATCAATTTCTTTATCCATTGAGGAACAGACAAGTTGAGGTGTTCTATAAAGTTTAGCTAGAAATATCAAAAATTAATCGCCCTAATATATTTCTAACTATGGTTTTCAGTTACGAGAATACATAATTCAGTTACATGAATACATAAGACTTTTGGTGTCAAAAGATCAACAACTGTATATTTTATTTACTCTGTAACGCGTTATCAGTCTTTCGTGTGATAATACCATTACTATAGCTCAACAATTTTTTTTTTGTTTGGAATTAAGTACAAAGCTACACACAATGGGCTATCTTTGCTCTGCCCACCACGGGTATCGAAACCAGGTCTCTAGCGTTGTAAGTCCGCAGACGTACCGCTGTGCCACTGGGGAGCTAAACATTTTTTAAGAAACATTTTACAGTTACGTATTAAAATACTGTGAATGATAAACTGAACTTGGAGATATTCCCTCAAAATATAATTTTTAATCGGAGAAAACGGACGCATCTTGTTATTTTCCTTCCAATCTTGTATAACTTTGTTGCTTGTAAAAGTTTACATCAGCCAGCTTTAGTAAACATTCAAGGTATGTTTATGTGGGAAATTATAAAAACAAAGAAAAATAATGAAAGCCTCTTGTAAGCCTATCAAGTGTTTTCGACACTTAAAAAGGGTTAGAAAACTCTAATGAATATTTATGTTAAACATGCACAAGACTAGATAGTTCATGGTAATGTAGTTAAAATTACTTTCTAACTTTAAAAAAAAACAAGAAACAATCGAACAAGATACAAGTTTTGAGATGGAATTGACCAGCTTGTGAAAACACAGTAGGTATAATCGTTTGTTAAGCTCTAAAAAATCGTAGGTGAAAACTAAAAAGTTGCTTAGAAATCTGCTTAATATGATCAAACTAAATCTATTTGGCTTGATACTGATG